TTTTTCAATTGTTAGTACACCAAATTTTCATTCTGAAAAGAAATGAGTGCAAGTTTATTCCCAAAATAAGATTCAGATCGAGCAGGTGGCATACAGTATGTGTGTTCCTTGGCATATGCTGCATTTATAGTCAGACACCCAAGGGACTTCAACACAAACCCTATAATGAAAGGGATGCAGGACCAAACGCAATCTTTTTCCAAAATCTCTGAAGTATGTAGAAATAAAACCCTATCTTGGAGATAGGAAATGGAGTACATGACCTCCTGAGCTTCTCTGCAGCTGTATTCTCCAATTCCCTTACAACCGAGGATCTGGGAATTGTGCTGCATAGTTCCCATGAGCACTCCCTCTGACGTTAGGCTCTGCAAATCCCTGCAGAACTACATGCTGGGACACTGCATTCAAGATAAGATTTTCTCATTTCTTGAAGACTCTCATCCATTTTCTGGCATGGAATAGAGGAAAAGAAGAAAGATGCTGCCAGATTTCAGAGTTAGAGCACTGACATAAGTAAAGGTGGTCTTTAGATGGGCAGAGAAGATATTGTGTTTCTCTGTAAGTAAAGTGAACTTCTTTGGAGTCGTGAAGAGCACGTTATCTGTGGAGAGATGTTCTGGGGTTTCTTTTTTAACTATCCTTATGCATATGTAATGTGTATTTTGCAGTGTCTTCTAACATGCAGCATTTGTTCTAAGGGTCAGCTTAACTGTTTCATTAGCTCAGTCTATGCTTTTAGGCGTTCTACAGTGTGCTTGATTTCCCTGAAGCTTAGACCAGTGCATACCCTGGAAGAAATCGGTGTGTTTTCAGTGTCAAATCGTAATGGAAAATTGCTGGGACCCTGTGTGGAGAAGAGAGGGCAGGAAATACGTATGTCTCCACCCAGTGCTCACAAGGTCCGTTTTTCAGACTTCCTCGGTGAAGCCATGCTGGCTGTCTTGTATCACCTCCCTGTCCTTCCTATGCTCAGTAGAGCTTCTAGGAGGATCTGTTCCATGATCTTCCCAGGCACAGAGGTGAGGCTGACAGGTCGATAGTTCCCAGGGTCCTCCTTTCTACCCTTTTAAAAAATGGGTGCAATGTTTATGTTTTTCCAGTGACCAGGGATTTCACTTGACTGCCATGACTTTTCAAATGTGACAGAGAGTAGCTTGGCAACTACATCAGCCAATTCCTTCAAGACTCTGGGATGCATCTTGTCAGGCCCCAGAGACTTATGGATGTAAATCTGTGAGATCTGTTGAATCTAGGAGCAGAATCCAGGTTTCTCCTGGTTCTGAGCACTCGACCACCATTTGCAAAGCCCCAGCCCGGTTCATGTAGTGTCAGGGAGGAGAGATGGTGAAACCCTAGCAGCTAATCCAGATGAGTGAAAGCTGCAAGAGCCACAGTGGAGAAAGCTGCTTAATCTGATGTCAGAGCATCATGGAAGACGATTCAAGGCACAAAACCATGAGAAACCGCAAAAACCAAATCCTTTATGAAGATTTATTTAGGAAAAAAAACAATGCTGAGGAGTCACTGCTTACATAGCGTGGTAATTCTCTTCCTCTTGAGCAATTTGCACCACACTGTGAGCATGCAATTACTTTTGTTCCAGAGATAACATCTTCATCTAAAGTTATACATGTACACATACAGTCCTTAGTGCACGCTACAGTTCACATATATGTTAGGACACGCACAAAGTTGAGCTTTTCCATGAAAAAACTTTATAAAAAATACAAACCAAACTGAAGCTGGCAACACAAGAAGCAATGTGCAAAAATAGACAAAAGTTACTCCTGAATGTTTGCTTAAGAAGAAAAGACTCTTCTGTCCCTGTTCCCTATTCAGCATTGAGTATGCCAGATGTTGCTTGAAAGTAGAATTTAAAATAACACATCCTCACCCCCTTCATGTTAGCTACAGAGATTTTTAGCCAGCTAAATAATCCTATATTAATATGAAAATCTGCCTCCAAGTATCACCATTGTGTGCTGCTGTTGTATTGAACAGATCTTTATACTGTTGTAGTGTTTGACTTGTAATGCTCAACGGCAGGTGATGACAACCAAGCCCTTGTGTGGAGCCCATAGAAGAGGCAGGAAAGAGATGTCCCTGGTCATCGAGCCCCCTGGCAGGGGCTGGCGGCAGCTGCCTGGAGAAAATGGCCAGGGGTTAGGAGTTCTCCTCACGTGTGCTGGCTGGAAGGAGCCAGATCTCCCAGGTCTCCCACCATGGGGTACAGAGCTCCTGGCACTCTTCGCTAGCGCGTGGTGGGGCTGGTGTTTGAGATGATACTCGCGAGCGCCTGAGGAACCCTCCCTTCAGAAGAAATGCGCCTGTGCAAGGAGCGTGGCAGATGAAGGGACGGAGAGCCCACAGGGCCTGCCCCAGCCAGGTACCTGGGTCCATGATGCAAACTGTAGCTGATATGGATGAAGCCACCCAACTACACTGGCTCTGAGCAAAGCTATACAGGACAACATGCTGCAGACATCATGAAGCAGTCAGGCTAACCCATCCTTGTAAAACTGCTGCATGCAAATACCAACACTTTAAATGGCAATTAAGACTAGAAATGGATTGCACTTGTTTCCCTTAAATACATATATGGACCACCCTTGGAAAAAAAGTAACCCTTAACAAAAAAATCTTCACAGTACATTAAAAGAATTGGTTAATAGTTAGGATTCCCTTGGTTGGATCTAAAGAAAAGAAGAAAATAGGGGCAGTTTGATTCTAATCAGTGAAGTTTGTCAGTAAGCCCAATCTTTTGGATTTGGGGATAAGAATTCTTCCTGCCCATGAGACTTGATGCTGCAAAGCCCAGTATTGCCCTGGTAATCCGCATGGTTTTTAAAGACTGTCTATTTAAGCCCATACAGAGTTATGACTGTGTTACAGAACTTGTCATCTTTTAAAATGAGATATCAAAGTTTTTCACAGCAAATCCTGCATGGATCCAGGGAAAATTTCAGCAAGACTCCCCCATGTGTTATGCTTTTTACATGCGAAGCAAAGGTTTAAGCCTTAGTCTGAAGAAGGGAAGGACGGGTAGAAACTGTAAAGATTAGAGCTCTCCAGGGAAGTAACTATGGATACTGCGCTTTACATCCCAACTCAGCAGACCGCTTTAGCAAACTACTTTAGGTGGGATTTAAGTGCGTGTTATTCAGTTTGGACCCTGGTATGAAGACCAGTACCCAACTGGAAAAGTGTTGCCTTGAACCTACTCATTTCCATTACGAAAGGCACGGAGGGAGGGTGCAGCCTGTTAGCTTAGTCCAGCTCTGGCCATGACAACATCACGCAGGGCAGTCTATCAAACCTGTTACTGACTGCTCCAGGGGCTCCCCCAGTTTCTCATCCCCGGATGCGCAGCTGCACGGGGGCTTACAACTCTCCCTCCCGGTCAAGAGCACAGTGCAGTGACCATGACCTCCAGCACTGTCCTGCCACCCGGCTGAAGGAAGCAGCGCTTCATGCCTGCTGTCCTGAAGGAGCTCTCGAAAGGGAGGCTGGTGTTTCCCAGGCACCTGTGCTGGCCCCAGGTGTGTTTCTGCAGCTCTGAAAGCATTGGTATGTGTGACACACCTAACCTGAGCCTCCCTTAGCTCCTGCTGCCTGTGTACGTGCAACCAAAACGAACCTCTGGCTGTTAGTCAGAGACAACTGTTGGCAGTGTTAAAACAGCGGTAGAGAGTAGTTTTAGACAATAAAATACACAAAACGAAACGTCAGACTGAATTCTTACTATAACTTAGATGCTGTTAAGCACTGGAGTTAGATGCTGCTTCTGAAGTGTTTTCCACTGCGTTTAGGATTGTGTCCAGCATCCGAGTTAAGGCCCTGATTTAGCAAAGCATTTGTGCATATGCGTAAATCTGCCCTTCTTCAGCTCAGCACTGACTCGAACACTGAAGTGCCTTGGGAGAGAGGGACAAACCTGAACTGAAGCCTATAAATGTAAGTTATGTAGTGTCACAGCTACCCTTTTAATGTTCTGTGGTGTGGGGTTTTTTTTTCTCCTGGTAGCACAGCTGCTCTCCTGGATTAACTATTTAATTAATCTTCATCTAAAAGGTCCTGAGAACAGTTCTATAATACTAAAAAATGTACATAAATACTTGAACTAAAAAAAATCAAACGCATGGCTCAAAGCAAAACAAGTACTGCTCAGAATACTTGTTTAGATTAAGATTAATAGCTGTAAACTGTGCATTCTAGTAGCAAATACAAACCTGTTGGCCTAGAAAAACCAAAACATTCAAGGTCTATAGGATTGGCAGCACTAATATTAGTTTCCAACGTGGAGTAAGGGTAACAAATATCAGTGAAACATTACAAAATGATCCACCTACGCTTATGTAAACAAGTATGTTTATACATCTAGGCGTGATCCTGCCCTTGGGTGGAGACTCAAGAAGGTAGAAGGGCGCTGTTCCAGTGTGGTTCCAGCTGCCCAGATTCCACCGCAGGAGAGAGGCTCAAGGGTATGATCCTGCAAACCTGTACTGGTATGGCTAGTTCTACTCCTGGGAGCATCCTATTGCAGGGTTCGCTTTGGCAGAACTATAAACATATAAGTAAGGATTATTCACAAACATAAGGCATTGCAGAACTTGGCCCTAAAATTCCTATTTTCAGCAGAGAATCCCTTATCTGTACACAAGATCACATTTTAACATATCAAAAAAGTGTCTAAGGGTCAGGGTCACTATATGTTATGCTCAGTAACACAGTTAAGATTCTGCATATTGGCTTCAGGTATTGCAAAACTTTTTTTTTTCATTAAAATCAAACCAACTACGAATCTTTCTCACAAAAATTAAATTCACTGTGAAAGTTAAATATGAACAGGCTGTGTTTTTCAAGGTTAAAAGGAGACATTAACAGAAATAAGCAACTCCCATTGTAATGGTTTTCCAGTCCCTTCCCTTCTGACCAGTGTGCACTCTGAGATTGCAGTCGTTGGTGGCCTCCAATCTTGCCTTGCATCCTCTGTGGCGTGGCTACTGCCGCTCTCCTTCCACCCGCTTTTTACGAACTAGACCAATAAAACAAGAAAAGAGCTGTCAGTATTGCTTTCCTGAGAGCCTAAGGACTTTTTTCACTGACACACTCCCCCCTCCCAGAAACATGAACAAGAAGGAAAGAGCTTCTAAGGAATACTCAGCAGGATTATGTCCATAAATGCTGTAATTAACAGCTCTGAATGCTCAACAAACAATTGTATCTAAATGGCACTTTGCTGTATTACAGACTGTAGAATTTCACCAAGTGTTCATACTGACACATTTTCTATAAAAATCAGATTCTGAGGTAAAGGTTTTAGATTACGTAGAAATCACCATTCCCTGTGCTGCTTCCTCTCAATGGCTCCATTCAGATTTTTATTACAGTATTGTTCTACAAGCTGCTGTGTTCCAGCTAAATTGATATTGGTCTGCTCTAGTCCGCGTGGCAGTGCTCGGGATTATTTAAGCATTAAAAATTAATAGCTTTTGTAATTGCATAAGTATATACTATAGGTAAGCAATAATCATATCCTTTTAGGAAATACTGTGAAGTACTCTGAAGTACTGATATCAGTGAAGACTGGCAGTAAGGAAAACATCATACTGGACCTTAAATTACCTGTTTAAACTTCACACGCTCTGATTGCACCAACCATCTGATAGTAAGTTAATTAACTCTGGATTCTCACTAGAAACCAAGTAGGCTCAGTTTCCTGTTTAGCAAAGCAGAGAGTGATGAGCTATGTGTTACGGGCAGGATTATTCTGACGAGCAGCTCCCTGTCAATTTTTACAGCATTTAGGACACGTGACATCTGGTATAAAATAGGTCTAGTTGGGCAGCATTTGCTACTCTATACTCTAATAAAAATGTATTGAGTCTTCTCTGACTTGGCAAGATAAGATTAGTGAGGTTCTCCTGTTCTTGTGATACAAAATTTGGTGTTACATCAAACTGTCATGTCCTGTTTCTGATATTGACCTGCTGAAGTACAGAACAAAAGCAGTAAAACTGGATGAATGAATGATCTTCACTACAGAAAGTCAGTAACAATAATACATTACTGCAAACATCCCATTACTTTACTATCAGGAAGTTTATTTCGTAGTGCTTTCTGGGCAAGCAGACTGCATTATTCCAAATCCTATACAAGGTAACATCAGTCATTTGTGTCTGCCTTTAGTGTTTTGTTGCTTCATTTATTTTACTTTATTGAATTCTCTTAGGTATTCTGTACTACTAAATCTTGGAACAAATCCATACAATACAAAGGCAGGAAAATGAAGATTAGGTACAGGACGTATATCTAATGGCACTTGGTTAAATAGTGGGGAAAAAAAAGGATCTTTCCATCTTTGTTGGTGGGAATGTTTCAAAAGTCATTCTAGAACACTGATAGATTCAGGACCACTAGTATATCATTGAAATACTTAGGTACTGCCAAATGTTAAAACTGCAAATGAATAAAAGTATGTGTGAAAGAAATGGGTACTAGCTCAACTTAGTTCTTACAGAGAGAAACCCAAGCTGAAGCCAGCAAAGGCATTGTGGTTTGACATGCCACCTTGAAGTAGAATTGATTAAAAACACGTAGTTAGTTTGGTTTTTTCTCCTTCTTACTGTAAATGGCTTCTGCCTCGTCATCTCCTCCTTATTCTGTGTATTTAGCACACAGGGCAGAGCATGTCATGGTCAGGTAAGTTTATAAAACTTTACTCGTTTTGCCTGTACTTGGTCACGCAGACAGGAAAGTTTGCCTTTTTCCCCTTGGTTGGGCAGGCTTGGTCTGCCATGGGCAGGGCAAAGAAATGAGGACTTCTGTGTTCACTGAACAAATGGAAAGGGTTTGGCTTTCTGCTTACTGGCCAGAACAGCTGATAGGGCAGCTGGAAATCCAGGGTGCTCCATGGAAAAACATGAAGCAACTCCCCTTCCCAGAAGGAATGGGAGAAGGAGAATAACGACTCCTAATCACAGTGAGATCTTTGCTGTTGTCTATAGTTTGTGGAGCTATGCATCACCCTTCCCATACAGCAGACTGAATGCTGTCGAGTTAAAATGCGACCACATGTACAGACAGGAAGAATTGTGTCTGGGAAGGTCAGGGCTTGGCTGACATAAAATAACGATGACTAGATGTAGTAGCATCTTACCCAGATCGTTGTTTTTAGTGATAGCTGCTGCCACCCTGGTTCTTGGACCTTGCTTTGTGAACTGGTATCCAAACTTGAGAATCCTGGAGTTCTCCTCCAGCATCTTGGCAATCTCCATCTCTACAGCTGTCCCCAGCTGCTGCCTCTGTTGGTGATGTGGTAAAATGTCCCCAACGGAAAAGAAAATATTTGTTTTCATATGAGAGAGAAATAGTGGCTGTATTTCAATACTGTGCTGCAAACTACAAAGAGAATCCTGTCCCTGGAGATTTTACTCTGGGCTTTATATTTGGCTTTGGCCTGTTTTATTTAGAAGTTCTCCACTGTTCGGTTGTGCAGGCATGGGACATGGGCTGCACAATGACTGAGCCACAGAGGTGGCCTTGACTTTGCCAGAGCCCTCTAGGAGAACCCTCTGGGAATCCTTATGGAAGGGAAACAAAACTGAACTCGCTCAATGCTCTCTCTTTACCTGGTTGTCGATTTTAATCTCTGTCAGGGATTCATTTTCTTTCAGTGCATCAATCAGTGCCAAAATACCCGTCCCAGTGATGAAGTTTGATTCTACATTCAGACTCTTGAGTGTTTTGTTCACTTTCAACATATCTGCAAATGCCTGAGGGGTCAAAGAGAGGGAATATGAGATCACATCTTAAGAGCTTCAGGGAATAACAGGGAATCTGCAAAACATAGTTTAGTACCTATGAAGAAATAAAACATAAATAGTCTTAGAACATCATAGAGGTAGATCAGAAGAGACTACATTTCTACTTTGTATCGTCACAGGAAAATAATGCGAGGGAAAGTGAAGAATGCATCCTAAAGGAGACATAGTCCTACTTAAAAACTGTTGTGATTTTTTTCCAAGCAGTGTTTAAACTCACAATAGCTACAGGGTCATTGCTTCGAGTAGCTGCAAGGCTGAATGTCTTCACATGCGTGTTACTTTCCAAAGCTTTTGCAAATTCTTTCAGCGTTGGAATAGGAATATTCTACATCAAGAAGATAAATCCAGTAATTAGGAAAGCCAGTCACATCACTAGACACTGATTTCAATTATCATCAAGCTGATTAATAGCCACAGTCCATGCAATTTAAATATCCCCAATGCTTTTAAGAGTATCTCAGAATGGACAAAGTGTCCTCTGCTAACAGTGGCCTTCAGAGACCCGCAGAGGCCTGCGCTAGGATGCGATGTCAGCGCTGCCTTTAACTGGGTCAGGTCAACACAAGCACAACACTGATCTCTGAGCTACTTTCCCATTTTGCTGCTGGTTGCTCAGTTTCCGCGTGCCAGCTCGTCCACTATTTGCATGTGTGAGCTAATTGAATTTGGCCAGCGACGATTATATGGTGCCCGTGAGAGATCTTGCTTTACAATCTGCTGAAGAAGAGCAGCCAGAAGGAGTCACTGCCTGGGCTTTTAATTGGCATCTAATGCAATATCATGCATTGATGACCTTGGAGCCTCTACAGCAGTTCCCTCCCCATCCCCTTCTTGCCTGTCCTGCTTTTTCTGAACAGTAGAGAAAAACATAAAAGACAAAGGGTTTGTGAAATATTGGAATAAACCCTCCTGTGATGACATAAATGAAAACACAGCACCTACCTTTATGTTGTTGAGATTAATTTCTGTAAGACTGGGATCGTTCGCTTTTATCCTTTGTAAACTTGCGTCCACGTTGGTCGGATTAGGGGGCTCCTCAAAGATGGGCTTGACCTTTTCACCTTTCACCACATCTGCAACACGAGATCTCATGAAGTGTTGTCATGAGGAACAGGTTTCATCAGGAACAGTCTGGCTTTTCAAATCCCATTTAGGTTTGTATTGTAGCATTCAAAAAAGGGTTTATATGAACCAAAAAAATTGGAAACAGGAGTATTAGCCCTGTTATTCCTGCCTTGCCCTTTGTACCTTCAGTGCACCCAGAAGTATGTCGCTGGAGGCTGCGGTCACAGAGGCTGGGCAGTGCTGTCATAGCCATATTCCTCCTTTATTTACAAAAGTCCCAGTACAATTAATTTGAGCCAAAGTAGCTTGAAAGGCTATTGTATAGGAGGTAATACACTGCAAGGACTGCTTTGTTCTTTGCCTCCTATCTGTAAAGGAAGGTGACCTCAGAACTCGCCCATTACATTAGTGAGAAAATGTCCCTGCACCAATGAATAGACTGTGCTCACGTAAAGGAACGTGGTCAGGAGGCCCCTCAGTTTCCTTCTCTGGGCTGATGCTATCAGCCTTACTATAAATTCAATTAGCTCTTGTAAAACTGAAACATCTGCACTTTCTAAGTAATAAAACTATCAAAGCATGAAAAGCAAGTCTGTGTGCCAGCACCAAGATTTATGAAGTCTCTGAGTATTCACGCTCCAGAGAGGTACAGCTTTTAATGCTGGAAGCTATGAGCTATAAATATTCTTAGAGATGCATAAAAATCATGGCTTAGAACACAATTAGTACTTCTCATTCCCACGCATGTAGTTGTGGAGATTAATTTTTAAGCCCTGACCACCCAAGCCACCAGAGGCAAGAAAGGAATATGTTACTGACCACAAGTATGTTTAAGCTCTTTTATGTTATATTGCAGACAGTGAGTGATTTTGAAGACTTGTGCGCAAGTCTCAATGTACTGTGCACCGCTGTTCAGTGCAACGGGTAAAGTTCAGGCCATCACAGGGGGCAAAAGGAAACCAAATATTTTTTTTAGAATTCATGCTCTTAGTAGAGATGAAGTCATACACAAACCTTGAGCTGATTTTTATCCTGCTCCTTTTCATCCCAATTGCTTTATTTATTTACTTACCTACTAATTCTCTGAGAGACCCCACATAGCCATGAGTAACACTCCAGCCTTCCTAGGCAGTAGGGAATTGAAAACTACAGGTAAAATGTATATTGAGAGTTCACCTTGGATGCAAGGATGGAAAGTAAACAAAAAACAGCAAAGCATTTTTTTGCACGTAGGGCAACACCCCGTCAAGATGGGAGCTAGGGAGAGCCTTGCACCCTGTCCTCAGGTTAGACATCACCATTCTAGTTAGCTGTGTTTTTAATTTTCTACTTCTTGTTGCTTCCTCTGAGTTGTATCATGTTTCTTTAATCATGGTGATGTTTTGCCACATTGACAGGAAACTTTTGAGGTGTCTTCCTCTTTAACTGAAGCATTTCCCTTGGCTAAGAAAAAGTATTGCTTTTGGACCAAAAAATACAGCGATGTTACAGTGATTTTCTGGTTCTTAAATCTGTGATTGGAGCATAGTTTAGCTGGCTCACATAGCTGACATTTTGAGTCAGTACAACAAAAATATTCTGAAATCTATGCGGATTAGTAATGCAAGCAGTTGCCTGTTATGAGATAGATGACAGCTCACCCAGGGCCCCGCTGGGGAGGCTTGCAGAGCAGTCTTAATCCAGAGAAAAATGAAGTGCTATGGTGTCGGGTCTACTTTCCTAGCTTCCTCTTAGTAACGTAAGATGGAAATGGAAGTCCTTGGTAAAGGTAGCTGCCGTTCTCATGGTCTCAGAATAAAAAAACATTTTTTGAGTACCGTTTCTGTAGAAAAAGGGCATTCCAGAATTTTGTCTTAAAAAGCAAAGTTTAGCCCACTTGATATCCTCAAACTTGGGGATGATGAGCTCTGGATCAAGACTTGGCAGCTCTCAAGAAAAACTTGGTATTCAGATTTACCCCTTTCTCCCCCGCCTCCAGCTTCGTGTCTTGCTGAGTTAAGATCTGATTCACCAAAGGTCTGTTTATTTAGTGCAAACATTTCTGGATTTGTTTTTAGTAACTACAGCTGTTTCTGTTGGGGGATTTCCTGAATGATTACATTTCCCATGCACCTAAGGAACCATATAACAGGCACCACTTAAACTCACTGCCACAGCGCTAAGGTGAAGGTAGCAGATCAGAAAGAGTAGCCGGGGCAGCAGCACATCCACACGCTTTTTGCCTCCCTGTGACTCTGCCAGGGATTCTGCCACGTTCGAGCCCCATGGTTACAAGTTCTTTTTCAGTTGTGTAAATGTAGGTACTTGGGGAGAGATGGCTTGGCCTGTGCTGTGGCCACCTCTTAGCTATAGCTCACTATGTTTTCTGTCTGCTGCTTAAACTGGAGTGGAATGAAAATACATGTGTCTTGGCTTCTTAAATACTCCCAACCTTTCAAGCACCTCTGCAGAGCCAGATTCTGCTTTCTAAGAAAACAAAGTTCCTTACGAATGATTTATTTGCGTAGTACCGTTGTCATTATAGACAATGAATTTTTAAGATTGTATTTACCTCAAAGAGCTACCCCTCATGGTTAATTAGATCAGTCAAGGTAAAGCCCAGTTACATTAATTAGGCCAATGCACCCAAGCGATAGGTGTACAAGTCCCTAAAGATGACATACAGCCCACAAAAAACCCTGCTTGCTTACTTCTCACGATTCCTTTTCCATCTTTACTGCGGGCTCCTCCTTCATCAAATTTTGGGTTGTTCACCATGTTGTGCACTCCAAGAACAGCTGAAATGCATAAGTACCAGCAACAGAATACAGTATTAATGGCAGCAACAAGGACTGCAGAAAAATATCTGCCACAAATTCTACTTTAGTTCCCCAGACAAAACCCTCTTTATAAAACATCAACTTTGAGTCATACCTGCTTGTAGGGACAGTCTTTAGGGATCTAAATACTGGAGATACAGACATTTTTAACAGACTTTTGAACAACTGAATCAGTGTAGCATGCATATCACAGAAATGCCAGCTAGAAGGAACCAGTGCGGGTCATCTTGTTCAGCCTCCCCCTCAAGTAGGAGTGTTGCCAACATTAACCAGGTCAGCCATGGCTTTGTCTAGCTGGATCCTGAAAACATCCAGGGATGGAAATCCCCCAGTTTCTTTGGGGAACTTGTTTCAATGCTACACTCCTAATAATTTTTTTTCCTAATATACAACCGGAACCTCTGCTTGTTTTGTTGTTGTACTGTTTGGCATATCTGAGAAGAATTTGACTGTACATGTCGTTAGCTTAATAAATTGGCATTTGCACTAGTGTTTCTTATAGAAGCTCACAGACACTAAAGTCTGTGAAAAAAAGAATATATTTTCCAGGATTCTAAAATGAATAGTGAGAATATAAACTACTTAGAGAGGAATGACAACAGAAACAAAAACTCAGTGAAAAAAACTGCAAAGTTACCTTTTGTGCACATGAACTTCCACAGTGTCAGAGAATAAATTGTGCAGTTTGCTGGTACTTCTTCCATAAGTTATCTAATTGGACTTTACAGGATCATGTGTAAATTAAAAGTTATTACTTTGATGTCAGTTTTTACTTTTCTCATTATTTTTTTTTTATATGGAAAACCCTCTGTTCTGTAAGCAAATGACCCTTTAGTTTCTGTTACAGAGCCTATTTTCAGAAGTCCTAGGAGTAGGTGTGCTACTCACTGTTTTGCATTAGACACTAATACCTACAAATTCTGTTGTGAATAGCTGGATACTGACCAGAGCTGAGCAAAACTTGGAACTTCGTACCATGAACTTCAGGCTTCCTAAGAAATGCCAGCTGCATTTTAATCCTGTAACTCCTGCGATACTCCACATTTCAGTCAGAAATGGGTGATATAGCCAAGAACTACAAAGATAATGGCAAGATCACGTCCTTGAATAGGACAGTATAGTAGCTACAAGAGTTCTGAGTTTAATGTTGATCTAACCCAGATTCAGATTAATCTAATATGATGAAATATTTAATTTAGAATTTCCTAGTGAAACAAAAAAAAAATGTGCAATTCTCCCACCAAAACTTTATATAGACCAAGGCCCAAAAAAGGTAGACCATGGGTTCCACTACAATGGATGCATCCCAGCCTGTTGTCTACATCTGCCTTTCCCCAAATCACGGCAGCTGGTTCATCATCTTCCCTCACCCGACACGTCAATTCTAGGTAGATGAGAGAAGTCCCAAATGCAGCAGCTCTAAGTCATGCTCCAAGTTGTCATGGGCAGCGCACAGCCCACAGGCTGGTCACCTGTCTGTGCAGTGAAACAGCAGGTACGTGAGAGGTGATCCGGAGACGTTCCTGGTGACAGGTCTGGATATGCAGGGTGATCATACCTATATATTATCTAACCTGCAAGGTCATACAGCTCAGTATCGGAAGCGCTGGCCAGAGCTTCTTCTAGTTCTGGATCCAGGGTCACTTTCTCTTCTGTACGGGTTTCTATGGGCTTTTCTTTTGGGATAAATATTTTTCCTAAAAGAAGAAAAAAGTGAGAGTGAGTAATGAATTATTGGAACAACTCCACTGTCTCCTGGCAGTGGGGGCAATAGGTCTGTGGCAGTGGAATGGCTTGGAAATATTATCAAGGGCATGTTTTCCTCTTTTGTACTTGATCCTATCCTTTGCATCAGGACCTTAACAACAACCTAAAAATAAAAGATGCAGGCTTCTGCTTTGTGTTTGTGATGGTTAACGTGGAAGCAAATTTCCTAAAATAAATCCCCAGGAGCAAACACAGTGAGGATTTTTGTGAAGTTCCTGAGTCCTCGTATTTATGAATAGAATCAGGTCTACACAAAAAGCTCGCAGAAATTTCATCCTTATATTTACATGAGACACTAGAAGCACTTAAAAGCCACTGCAAGAGCTTTTCAGGTTACCAAATTCCATACAAGAGCCTGAAAGCTCAGCAAAACTGTTCTCTTCCAGTAGCTCGATTTAATTCTGAGCCTCTCCGTGAGTGATCCCCCTCTGTGTCTCCTGCTGATCACTCACACAAATAGCCTTGTCCTGATCATCTGCGCAGGCCTGAGAAGTTCTGAAGTGAACCACATGTTCACCAAGAAAGACTCTGACCTATTCGTCTCTCTTTGCACACCGCCGTTACGTTGGGGTTAGCAGGTGTGTGTTTCCATGCGATATTCCCCCAAGGCTGAGATCATTGGCCCTTTGGCTGAAATGAGAAAACTGTAGGATAAATCCAGAAACAACACAGGAAAGTCCCATTAGTCTTTGGCCTGCGGTTACGGCTAACCTCAGCAGCGTGATGAGGTAACGGCAAACGCCCGGAGCAAGGCCCTTCCACTCCAAGCAGGGCTGCGCTTCAGCCATGGCACTGCCAGGGCTTTGCTCCCACTCAGCTCGTTCCTGTGCCAAACCTGGGCAGTCAGTAAAACCTTAGATGATGCCACATGCAACAGACGGTGTCATTGCTCCAAAAATTCTGTGAACTCCTATGTTCTACTGCGGAGGAGTTCCCCTCACCTTGTCCCTCACAACTACTTCTCAAATGGGCTTTAGTTAATCCTATTGTAGTGAAGCTGTGATGACCGTGGAGGCAGGTGCCTTTGGCCCACTGCCGACTTTAAATTGTCTTTCTGTGCAGCTTTGTACACTATAGACGTAATGCTTGAAGCATATCCTGTGGCTTTCTGAAATGTCTCTAAAATAATTTAATGTTAACTGTATTAGTGATATTATTTTGTTTCCATTAATAAATGCAGTTCTAATATTTAGTGTTGAATTATAGGTGCTTTGCCTTTGTCAACACTGTCATCCTTTTGTGGCTTACTTTTTCCCCATTATGGTCCAAAGTATCATTTTCACGTAGATAAGACCAAATTCATTTATCTCTTTCATACAAGTTTATCCACAGCAATTTCTACACTTGTCAGCATCCATGACTGAAGTCACTGAATAAGCTGAGAAAAAAAAAGATTAATGGAAATTTCTGAAATACTGTCAAGGTTTTCTGATACAGGATTCGATATTTGTACCAAAGCTAAATAATTTCTGAGTACAAAACTGGACAGAAGGTTATACAGAAAGACAAAGTAGTTTCATATTATGATTTGTTTTTCATGTGATGTTTTAAATAAGTCAATGTTTGGAAAAGGCTTCTAGAAGATAAAAGTCTTCGTGGGCTAAAGGTAAGAATAGTTTTAGCTTTCACTGTGCACTAGGTGATATGAAGACAGCCATCCCAGCAACATCAAACAAAAGACAAGTGTAAATCTGAGGTGAGAAATACCCTGTTAAGATAGATTAGTCACACCCTCCAGGACTTCTAACAGCACAGGTGCTAAGATTTCAGACTCCCTGTACTGCTACCTAATCTGAAGTGTTAATCTGAAGTGTTCCAGACACCACTGACCAGACCTAACTTGATGCCAGCTTGACTGGTACGGATAACGCAGAAGGAAAAAAAATTCATGACTATGTTGGAAGCTAGAAGATCAAAATTTATCAGAACATAAGAGTAAACCATCTATAGTGAGGAGTACTTCCATAAAATATTTTCCTTTCATATCACTGGTGTTTCCATATGAGTTTCAAGTAATCAGTATGTCATTTGAGATCTTGAGGAAATCCTACTTACCTCTATCCTGACTGATAATATGACTCCCTAAGAGCTAGACTCCACAGAGCCACAGCTTGCATGAAATGTCTCCATCAGGCAATATGAGATTCTTCAGAGCTCCAAACCCCAGCCACACTGTTTATCAAATCCCGTGGAAGTCTATACTTTCACACATAACATTTAAGGGCACACAGGGCCTTGAGTCAGGTGTAAACTGGACACAATATGTAATATAGTTTGTCCTTTTCTATGGACTTTGGATGGGGGTAGGCCAGTTACTCTGTGTAGCAAGAAATCCAGGGATAATGGAAATCAGTAGAGGCTTATACTACTTCTTTGCAGCTCACGTATATAGAATATAATTTTTAAGCATTTGTTTCAGGCATATGTAATCCCTGGATGGCAGCCCAAATCTTTTAAAATGTGTATATGTCTCTCAATGACAGTTTATTTTAAAGCGTTCTTGGCAAATGTTTTAGAATAAAATTCTAATACTAGTTATACAAAATATTTAAAGGGGCAAGGTCATGTCAAAGATAGTAATATATATCTTTAATATATGTGGGCCTTGCTGGCGTCCAGTGGCGTTTTAAAAATATTCTTTTTTGCTATCTAGATAAGAACATTCTTTTGCATTACCCCACTGTGAAGAGATGATGTAGCACAGCAGAGGTTAGAACTTATGCATTTAGCACACTATTAGGAATTAACTACCTGTCCACCAACAGCAAAACTAGGTCTGTGATTATAGATAGCTGTCAACCAGTTTTTCTTCACTGTTACAAGGACAAAGTTTAAAGATTCACGAGGTCCCTCCTAATCCAACATCCGTGCATTGTAAATTCATTATACAGTGCCATAATAGAAGTTGGTGACAAAATAAAACATAGATTCTGGCTTGCTTGTTTCAGTGGCCCAGCTTAAATTTAAAATTTATTATTTGGAAGAAGTCTTTGAAGAATAGTAACATTTTATTATTTTAAACTGAGATTTATGGAGAAAGGCTGCTGCTTTTGGTGCTCTTTAAATCCACATTGCATTTTAGAAGGTGCTTTATTATAACCTTCAGTGTGATGTACTTAATGTTGTCTGTGTTACCTTTTGCTTCCAAAATACGCTAATGTACCGTGCTACGTTTTAATAGTAATAGTTTATCTTTCTACCAATGAAAAGCAGGTAACAAGTTATGTTTATACATATCATACCCGAGCTACATCAGTGTTAACACAGACATTCTTGTGTTTAACAGCACAACAAAATTAATTCCAGTTAAAAAAAATAGTAAGCATTAAAATATCATTTTACTTTTACATATGCATAGAAACTCAAAATGCCTGGAATCCAAAGTGCTTTTTTCCAACATGAAATGTTAAGCATAAATCAATGCAACTGTGCTCTTCTTTCTGTCAAACTGGGATGAGTGCCTGGGGTGACCTGGATGATGACTGGAGCATCCTATTACACCCAGGGACTTTCTGCCTGCAATCGCAGTGAACAGAGGTTTGTCCTGGCTCAGTTGAACAGCAGACCTGTTCCTTTTCAAAACTTCCATTCAAACTGAAAAATGATATGGTTCATGTTCTACTCAAAAGAGGCTCAGGGAAAAAAAATCCATTGAAAACGAGAGAGAAGGATTCAGTAAAAGGGACTACAGAGAGACATAGAAATGCAGAGTGAGGTAAAAGGAAAACAAACTACAAAAAAGAGAAATACAGCGGGTACAGTCATAAAACCGTAGATATAATTTTGCCACGTGGTTTCAGCAAGCTCTATTTCTTCATTATGCAAATGCCCCCATTAAGCAAGGAAATGAGATGTATCCCTAACTTCATCTCCTTATACGATTATAGGTAACTGCATAACCACATATGCCCATCTATAGGAGAATGTATTAATTGAGCAGGGAACTACTTCAAGTGTATTTCCCTGAAGTAAGCTTATTTGTTTATTGTTATATAAGAGGAAAAAGATTTGAATAGCATAGTTTGTAGGATTTTACTAATGTGTCTAATCTAAAAAACATTTTGAAGGTTTCATCTTCATTTACAGTTTTCCACATTTGGAACATTGTTTCTGGTATGTCTTCTCTTTGCCTTATTTCTTACATCATTAGACTTTTGGGAATAAATAGAAATTGCCACCATTTTTACTTAGTAAAAATACTTAGTATTTATTCTCACCTTGTACAAGCCGAAACTCAACAAAGCACAAAGCAATGGGAAATAAGCCCATTTACACTAGCTCTAAAAAATGTCCTTTTATTTACCATCAGTTTTATTAAAGTTATTTAATTTTATAATATAAATGCATTTTCTGCCATAATTGTAAAACAATGTACTTTTTTTCCCTATAAACTGTAGTTCAGATTATTGTACTTTCAAGAACATATCTGGTTACACTTACTACTTACTTTTCAATGAATCCCTGACTACAGTGACTGCCTGCTTATTCTCAATTACAGAATGTTAAACTGACCTTAGAAGTGAAATTCAATAATCTTGGAAATCTGCCTTGCATAAATCACAGGCACCTGATTCACTTTTTCCATTTTGCACTATTCTTCTCTTTTGAGGCTTACTTAAACTCCTCCTTACAAATACTCTATGAAAATGGGGCTACATTAGTTCTTACCAGGATTAAGTTTGTATTATGAAGAAGAAAACAGGCCAAGTTCAAATAAATGTGAAGCTGAAAGCTAGCAGTAATTAAAACGTGGTGTATCATAATTGCTGCTGTACTGTTACTTTTGGATTAGTGTCTGCATATTCCAGGCCTTAAAAGCTATGATAATGGAAGAGGAAGGTTGCCAAGCTAAGCTTTCCAAAGTTATTAAATCTATTGTGCATAAACACAGGGTGAAGTTAAATTGCACCAGATTCTGCCACCTTAGCAA